CTGCCCCACTGCTGTCGGGCTTGGCTTTCCCACCAGCAGACCCTGCTCAGCAAGCCCAGGCTGGGAGAAACAGTGTCACCTGCTACATAACATCCCTCCACTCATCTTCCACCTTGCAAAGCCAGTGAGCATCCCATCCACTGTCATCCCATCCCACGCCATCTGGGGGAGGACCATCACAGCAGGGTACCCACACTATCCCGGGACTGGAGGGAGGCTGCATAGCACACACAGCTTCACCCATCTCTGCCCAGAGCTGAGCCACACAATGTATCTCTCAAAACCTTTATTGTCAGCATATAACAAAAGTCAGCCCCGCAGCGGTGCAGGGAGTCCAGAAAGAGGGGGGTGCTGGCACCCCAGGGCTTGCTGCCCTGGTGGGTCCCCTGCACCAGCCCCCTCCCCGGCCTCCTGAGCTGCAGGGCTGGGCGTGCATAGAGGGGACAGGTGAGACAGGGGGGCACGTGTCATTCTCCAAAGCAAGGGGCACATTTACAACTGCTTATAAATAAACAACAACGAGAAACCTCTGACTCTGGGAGGCAGGTGGGCACCCTGCCACCGAGCCGTCAGCCCAATGCGCTCTGCCCTCCGAAGGCGCGGAGCAGCCCACTCCCCCCAGGGCTTTGGCTCGCAGGTCCCCCCAAAGCATGGACTCTGCCACCATGAGGGACTAGGTTGAGGGGAACCACCAACCCAAACCTGACTGGGTTGGGCACCTGCCCAGATGCATGTACAGGGATGCCCACAGGGTGCAAGGATGAGGATGCAGGGAGGTGCCAGACCCTGCAACCTCAATGGTGGCTGGGGTCAACCATGGGGCCTGGGGAGAGTGAGAGCCAGGGTGTGGAGAGCCCAGGAAGGGCAGTGCTACCGGAGCCCTCAGGAGACCCAGATGTCCTCAGCAGCTGGCGAGGAGCAGGGCTGGGCACCCTGACCACCAGCCCCCATCCACAAGTGCCACAGGATGCCTGCCCCGCTCTATTGGCCTCCGTGTCAGAGGCAGCAGGGAGCACCCTCCCGTGGTGTGACTCCTGCCACCACCTTCCCCTGCTCTCAGCCCCTCTAGCGCCACCCGCAGTCCCCTGCACATGGTGACATTCCCACATCCGCCCCACTGCCCCCTGCACTCCGGGGACTGCTAGGAGGGCTGAGGAGGGCAGAGCGCATTGGGAACCACCAGAGACACCTTTTACCTTTGCCTTTAAACACTGAAGCTTATATTAGAGACTATGAGATACAACCCGGAGGGCAGGGCTGTCCTGCCCAGAGTAGAGACAGCAGAGAGAGCACAGCTCCGTGGCCAGCCTGGCGAGGGTCTGCTCCCGCCGCCAGCAGGAGGTTAGTACAGGGACACAGAGCAGGCGTGGCAGGGGGATGCTGCCTAGGGCTGGTTCTTTGCCTCGGGGTCTTTGTCGTAGATGTAGCTTCCCACAGCTCCAGTGTTGACGCCTGCACGGGGGGAGAGGCAGGAGGGTGACGACCTGGACAGGAAGGTGGCACGCTCCAGGGGGATGTCCCCTCTGGGCACAGGCATCAGCCCAGGTGGGACGTGTGCCTCCAGACCAACACCCCACCCCATGTGCCCCCAGCACTCACCCTTTGGCCCAAAGAGGATCCCATAGCAAGGCTTGTGGCAGTACGGCTGTCCGTCATGCTGTGCGGGGCAGAGAGACGCATGTCACCCAGGGCAGGGGGATGGGGAAAGGCCAGTCCCCAGGACACGTCCCACTCTGCTCACCCCCTGCAGATACCCCCACCCCAGCATCCCCAGCACTCCCAGGCTGCAGGAGCTGCTCCCACCAGCCCTGCCCTACCCTCTTGCAAAGGCAGGGGCTGCCCAACAGGTGGGGTATGGTTCAGCTGTGCCCCACGGGCATCCCCCAGTCATGCTGGGGGGGTTGGGGCATCCTTACCTCAGCATGGCCCCCTGGGGTCAGTGTCTTACTGCAGCGCTCGCAGCGTAGGCAGGGACGGTGCCAGTCCTTTCCCAGTGAATCGGCTAGAGCGGGGACAAGGAGAGAGGGTCCCACCAGCCCCCCTGCACAAGTGCCAGGGGGGAGCACGCCCCATTGGGGCATCACCTCTGCATACAAAATCCTGAGACCACTCCAAGCACCCCAGCCTCCCGCGTCTCTCCCACCCCTCGCAGGTGACAGATGTTGACCAAGGACAGTTATTAAGTCCATGCCACCCACCTGAGGAGGTGACAGCAGGAGATGTGATGCAGATGAAGCCCTGCACCCAGGAGGACCCATCCCTGCAGGCTCCTTGGGCACATCTCTCTGTGTCCCCAACCTCATCTCTGCGCCAAAACCCCCTCCCAGACCCTCTACGTGCCCCAGGGATCCTTCACGGCGCCCCAGCACTGTGGGGCCATGCCACCCCAGGGCATGCACCCACTGCCCACTCTCCACCTTACCGAAGTAGACTCTCTTGCCACAGCGCGGGCACATGTTGGGCTCCCCAGTGAAGGTGGTGACGCTGGAAGCTAGAAGGAGAGAGGGCATGGGCAGAGGAAGCAGGAGGAGATCTCAGCCAGGACACAGGGGTGCAGAGGACCCCTCAGCGCACACCCTGCACCCCACGCCATCGCCAAACATGGTGGCTCTGGGCAGGGCTGCCCATCCTGCCCTGCCCCTCACCTTTGCTGGGTCCCTTGGGTGGTGCGGCGTTCACCTTCCTCTCCTCCACCTTCGCTGGGTGCTCGATGGGCCCTGGAGCAGTCTGCCCCTCAATCTGCGGCTTGTCATAGATGTAGGACCCAGCGCCGCCAATGTTCACCCCTGCAGTGGGGCAGAGAGAGGCTGTGGTGGCCTGGGAGCACTCGGGTTCTCCATCCTCCCCCCAGCCCCTGTCCCACCTCCCCCAGCCCCACTGAGCCACCAAGCCACTGCAGACACATCTGCACCTCGGCCTGGCTTGCTTTCTCCTGACCCAGGCTTCCTCCAGCCACGTCTGGGATAGGAGAGCAACTCCACCTTCTGTCTGAATGGGAATATGTTTTTTAAATATATATAAAAAAAAAAAAGGGCAGCTGTCAGGACAGATCCCTCCCTCTGGCAGCTCTCCTCTCCCTCTGCACAAGGGGATGGCAGGGGCAGGGCTTCAAAGTGCTGGCACGATGCTCAGCCCTTGCTAGCCT